GATCATACAGTGTTGATGCTGAAGAACACTCAAGTGTATGTCATGAGAAAAGGGAAGTCAGGGCAAGAGGCAGCCTGCCTCAGAATTACTACCCTTTTATACGATCAAGCGTTTATAGACCTTGGATTAAAATGACAGCCAACCACATCCTTTGTTCAATAATTGTTTTATTTACTTATGTCACTGTGAAACTCGGGGATAATATTCACCACAAATTTGCAGGCATCATTTTACAGTACAGAAGACTGACTTGTCTTTAGGAGAAAGAACAAAATGGATTGTGACACTGGCCTATGGAGGAAGTGCTGGCCACGAGCAAATAATAAAAAACCATAAAATTCAGTGCCTTTGGCAAAGGTGTGGACACTGTTTTCGATGCAAGTAGAACACATGCCCTTTGCTTACAGCTCAAACACACACCCTGCTTGCACAGTAGTTTCTCTATTCACTCTCAAGAGTTAGAAGGAAGAGAGCATCTCTAAACAAAAATGTCCCCAACAGCTTCCTGCTGGCAGCAGTCAGTCACCGTTCGGGTTCACCAGCTTGGAAGCCCCTCTCAATGCAATTATCCCTCAGTCTGCGCCAAAGTGACAGTTTGCCTAGAAAAGCAACAAGGGCCTCGCTTAGCCAAAGCTCTAAGCAGAAGCTCCACACAAATGTCTCTGGATTGCTGTATACAGAGGGCTGAACGCGGCTGTGTTTTGGATGAGAAATAAATATAAAAGGTGTTTGTTTAATTGCTTGCAGAATAGGATAAAGGATCCTCTCCTGATAACTCCAAGCCAAGCGAAATGGCACGCAGGATGTTCCAAGCCAGACCACAGACTTTCACTGGTGCGAAGGGAAAAGCTGTATTTGCCACCTCTCCAGGCCCAGCTCTCTGTGTAGTGCAAGCACCAAGTGGGGTTTCTCTTTCCCGAGTGATCTCTTAAAAAGATTTGGAGTTCTAGGGATTTAAGAGTTAATTTTTTCCCTGTCAGACTCTAAAGTATTTACTACTTCAAATGTTTAAACTACTGTATTTCTCCTCACCGGTTGGTGATATTTTATTAGATAATCATCATGTTTAGAAACGAGTCCTCCTTTCCCAGCCAAACGACTCCTGGTTACGCCAGCAGCGTGCAACACTGACGTGCACATAATTTGGATAAACGTTTGTTCCATTAGTGAGGAAGTTATTAAGCATTCAAGATCATTTATTGAATGCCTGCTGTGTACCAGCCACAGAAACAGGGGTGAAGACCTATTTTCCATGACTGAGGAACTCCAGAATTCAGGAGGAAAATAGTTTGGAGTTTGGTATGTGAACTGCAGAACTGCCGAGTATTTTGGACTTCAAGAAAACAATAAAGTTTTATACTCTAGAAGTAATCTTTTTAGTTTAAAATAGGTTTACTGGATTCTAATTTGGGTGAGGAAAATTTTACAAATACTTTTTTTTTTTTGCAGCTGAGAGTATGGCTACCTTTTGGATTAGCCTTTCATGTAGACTGTGTTGTGCAGCTGAGATGTGAGTCTCCCAGGATCTCTGGGTGATTATTCAGGTGCTCTCAGCCTATCCCAGAAGGGTAGTATCTGGGCTCCGAGCTGAGTCTCTGAGTGTTCGGTAGAACATCAGGCCCAATGCCTCACTAAAGCATTTGGACATCTACTTCCACCCACCCAAGTGCTCTGTCCACCGCTGTCTGTGAGGCTGTGACTCGTGGTGCACGTCTAACAGCACTAACTGCTCATTATGGAGCTCAGACACTAAAAATTGCGTTGTTATAAACTTACACTGAGGACAGTCATTTTATGAACTTGATCCTCTTTATTCACTGTGCTATCTTAAGTTAAACCCCCTTTCTCAGATGGGAACACTGAAGGCAGAAAAAGAAATGGAGTTCGCCAGTCTGGAAGAGCACTGGGTCCTAGGGCTGGAGATTTAGCTCAGTGGTGTTGTGCTGGCTTGGCAAGTGCAAGGTCCTGAGTTCGATTCCCAGGACCAGGGGAGAAAAAAGTTCTTTCTTGAAGAGCACTGAGTTTCCATTTTCAGAACCTGTCTCTCAGGTTTGGTGTGTTTATTCACACACCACTCTACAGCTGAAATTTAGAGCCACAAACACAAAAGCAGAGAGTGTGTGACTAGCATGTGTAGAGAGAAAGTAGTCAAATTGTCTGTGAACCTATTATAGGCTGGAATTATCCCTGTTTAGATAGGTTTGCTGCACATTGCTTTGGAGAAAAACACTTTTGGAGGAGCTGGCAGCATAGGATAATATAGTGTAGAAAGTGTAACTTTAGTGTAAAGTGTAACTTTAGTGAAGAAAGTGTAACTTTAAATGCTTTTTAGTTTTTAGGGTCACTGCTTTGAGTGTTATACTGTAAACAGTTTCAGTCTCACTATAAGAAATACCATTGCAAAACCTAAACAAACTTTTTTTTTGTGGTACTGGAGACTGAACCCAGAGCCTTTACACTGAGCTACACCCTCAAACTTACAGTGTCAGGGCCAGGGATTTAGCTCAGTGGTTTTACCACCTGCCTTGCCAGCGCAAGGACTGGAGTTTGAACCCCAGTACCAAAAACCAAAAAACCAAAAAACCAAAAAACAAAAAAACAAAACTTAACAGTGTCTTGCAAAGTTGCTAAATTGCCCAGGCTGGGCTTGAACTTGCAATCTTCCTGACTTAGCTTCTCAGAGTGCTGGGATTACAGACATGTGCCCAGCCAAAACAAACTTCTGCTACCTAGCAGCTCGGTGAGATGGTCGGAGATCAGGTGAGGGTTTCAAACTGGAACATTTTAGCAATAGAATTCCAGGTTTACCAACAAATTTTAAGAGTTCTTTAGAGCTTGTTGTATTGAAAATCTAAGTAAATAACTTTATGCTGTATAAAATCTGTAAATTTCAAGCATTCACCAGATATTCCATGTTTTAGCTCTGAAGCTCATTCCCATTCCTCCATTTTGACCTGTTGGCTATCAGAAGGTAAATCAGAGAGCCAGGCATGGAGGTGCATGTCTGTCATTGCAGTACTCTGGGAGGCTGAGGCAGGAGGATCACAGGTTTGAGTCCAGCCTGGGCAATTTAGGAACTTAATGAAACTCTGTCTCAGAATAAAAAATACAAAAAAGGCTGAGGAATGTAGCTCAGTGTGAAGACCATAGGTTCAATCACCAGTACTGCAAAAAGAGAAAAAAGGGTAAATTAGAGATGTGACAGTGTTGTTGCTTAGTGTGAGCAGGGGGAAAGTCTGGATTAAGTGACAGGCATGTGTCTGAGGATGTGCATCTGATGGTGACAGGAGACCAAGAAGTTGGGCTTCATAACCTCAGGTCAGTGCTTCTTTGCTGTACTGCACCACTGCCACTTATCCTCACAAGCTGCCAGTGTCAGATTGTCCACTGTCAGAAATATGTCCCCGTCTTTGAGTCATCTCTATGCAGGCAAGCCCAGGACACCTTGGATGATCCCTGGCTCCTCCTGTGCCTCACTACAGTCTGCATCCAGCTTCACCACTGGGCCAGAGCCTGGGCATCCTTTCCTCTCTTCCCTCCTGGAGGCAGAGCTGAAGCAGCCAGTTCTGCAGCAGCCCCCAGCCCCCCTGCCTCTCTCCCTCTGCACAGAGCAGCCGATACCTCTCTGCTGGGCCGTGGGACCTGCCCTTCTCCAGCACAGGAAGTGGTGGGGCACAGGAAGAGGGTGTGGTACACTGGCTGGATCTTTAACCACGGCAGTGTCTGATGCTCAAGTCTTTCTGGTCTGCTTTCTTCTGGTTAGGTGCTAGAATTCTCAGATACTGAGGCGTGAATAGAAATGGAGCGAATGTAGAGTGAAGGCTGATTTTGAGAGGGAAAGATTCAACATACGAGGGAGAAAGATCACAGAGGCCATGGGACAAAAGATGGGCAGGAGAGAGCGGAGCCAAAAAGAGGGAAATAGGGGGCGAGAGTGCTCACTTCTCTCTGTCATCTGGCGAGGCCTGGAGAACCGAGGGAGAGCGCGTGTGCGTGTGTGCATGCATGTGTGTGTGTGTGTGTGTGTGTGTGTGTAAAAAGACAGAGGGGTTACATGTCTCCAGGGTATGGTTTATTTTCCGCTTCCAATTAAAGTAGATAACCCTATAACTCTGCAAACCTCATTCACATGGGAATCAGGGTGAAATAATTCCATTACAAGATTGGGAATCACGACATTTCATCTTCTGTAAATGCTGAATTCCTCCTTTCAGGACAAGGGTTATGAGAAATGCATGTGTAACCCGTGTCCAGTTGCAAACCCTCACTACATCTTCAGTTCGGCTTCTAAACTTTATACTCAAATACATCTATTTTGCTTGTTTTCCTTTTCTGAAAAGGGCCCAAGAGTTGGACATGTCTTTCTGGAAAGGGTCAGTCAGTAGTAATTGGGAGAAGCTGATCACTGCCCTGTAAGAGGTTTACAAACAATTCCGCATAAAGCCCAGTAGCAAAAAAAAGGAGAGCTAGAGCCTCAGGTTTGTTCCTTTTCTCTCCTTGCTATCTCCTAAGAGGACAAGAATCAGGAGATATTCATGTTTAAATGGAATCCTAATTAACCCTTTACATTCTATCCAAGCTCAGGGTTCCTCTGTTTCTTAAATCTAACTTTAATTTTTTTAAATACAGGGAACAACTTTTTGGAGGAGGCAGGGTGGAAGTTTCTCATAGGGGTGGGGATTACTGATATACTGGGAGACTTGAATAGAGTCACATATTTACTAGTGCGTGGTCAACTTGAGTAATAAAATATAGATGTAATTGCTTATTACACGTTTCACAAGTGGATACATAACATTCTGTAGTTTGCTATACACATTAGAAAATAGTCTCTGGTTTTTCTTGCTCTTTGGTTGAATGTGGGCCAAAAATTAAAAAAAAATTTTTTTCTTACAATTTGCCCCCCCACCCCTTGTAATATGATTTCATACACAATGGTGGAGGGGTGCTTTGCTCAGTCCCCATCGGGTTCAATTAAAGAGTGCTTTTAAACATTTATATTGAAGTGACAGGTGACTTTTATTACCTAGGAAGAGCTAGGTACTTGCAGGTGCCAACACAATGACAGTTTTCTTCTTCTTCACCACAGGAAAGCTCAATGGACTCTATGCATTGCCCACACGGACCTTAAAAGAACCACTTTCAAAGGACACCATGGCTGAAGAAGTCATATTTATCAACATTAAATAAACACTTGGTGAAGTATGCATAAATATTTCTTCATATAAACATAACACGACATTAAATAGATCAGATACACACACACCACTGAGTACACTTCCACTGCTCAAAGTTGTCTGTAAACACCACCTCACGCTGAATACAAAAGCAGCTTGGGTCCCAGCTCTGGGTCTGTGGCACAGATGCTGGGACTCAGGGAAGAGGCCTTCCCCCCCCCACCCGTCCTCCCGCTCCCCACACGGCCCCAGCGAAAGGAAAAGAAGGAACCCGACAAGGACAGCAGCAGTGAGAAGACAGAAAGCAGCAGCACCCCTCCCCTCCCCTGGAGAAAACTTCGAGCATTGGGGGCCATCCAAAGGATAAGACAAAATTAGTTTTCAAAAGGTACAGAAATCAACTTGAAGCAATACTTTCCAAGCGTAATTCTTTCTTCAGAGGCCAGGTCACTTCCTACCCCACCTACTCCTGGGTGAAGGTTACACATGAAAGGCCAGAAGGCCAGAAAGCCCTGGCCACCGCTAAGCCACAGGGGTCAGCCCTAATTTCCTTTAGAAGGTGCCAGGTAGCAAGAAATCAAACACAACATTTCTCTCCACCCCTCCCCACCCCAGTGTTCCTTTTGCTTTGCCATATATATTGCTGAGTGTGACATTCAAACGTGACACTGTGATTGAGTTTCAAAGCAGTTTAGGTTGCAGACATTTTGTTTTGAAACATTCAGATTTGGATGACTAAATCCAAACGTGTGGATGTGGTTCATTCCTTAGCTCAGAGGGGCCCCACTTAGCTCTGTGGATGGAGAGGTCAGTAAAGGAGACTGCTTATGCCCAGGGTCCAGCCAGCCACACTGGCGACTGACTCTTGAGGCTGTCCACTCTGCACAGATCTGCTGGGACGGCCTCGCTGATCTCTGCTGAATATTCTTCAGAGTGGTTTGTGGAAAACAGACCCAGTGTCCAAAACGTTAAACTGGGTTAATTTCACTTTTATATTGTATAGGATCCTAGAGAACTTCAGTTACCAAAGTACTGAAAGCATATATTGCAGGAATAATTTGCCAGTTCAGTGTTTCCCATTATATTATATACACTATGTGCATGTGTGGAACTCACACATATATATACTTATATTTTTATTTGTATGAAACTTCAACTCACAAAACAATATTTTGCAAGAATCAGGAATCAAGTCCACAAATAGAGTTCAACAACACACTGAAGAGAGGACGGAAGCTCTATTGGGACAAGAAGGTTCAGCTTTGCAATGGACGGCATAATTTCAGAACCACAGATTCACGAGCCTGCTGTATTCCACATGTGGTCTGCATCGGCACTTGGAATCCTTGGGAAGAACAGCACAATCGGGCCAGCTAGGCTTATCTGGGATTCCAGAGCTAATGGGAATTAAAAGACCCAGGCAAATCAATTTGCTGTGAAGCAATATTTTTTTTCCTCTTTAAGAAAAAAAAAAAGAATTAAAGTCTAGTTCAGAATAAATTTCTTTATATTCAGTAGTAGGATTTTTTTTTTTGCTGAATTGGTATTTGACTTTTTATGTTAAAATCAGTTTATTCAATGGATCCGTAAACAGGCAGCTTCTTTCATACCTGGGTGATAAAAAAACCATTTTTATCATCACCAGGAGCCACCCCCACCCTCACCTTATTCCTCCTAAGGTCTGTGGGTTGATGTGTGCATTTTTGTCACTGCTATGGGTCCAACCTCCTTCTATACAGCCTGCTCGGGCACACGCTTGTGGAAGATGACCGACTGTCTCTGCTGGTACTGCTGCTTGCGTCTCTTCCTCTTGTCACATTGGCACAGCAGTAGCATCTTGAAGGTGTTTCTGAAGGTTTTGTTGCACAGGGCATAGCACACTGGGTTCACGGTGCTGTTGATGTAGCACAGCCAGTAGCCCAGGTTCCAATAGGTTTTGGGTATGCAGCTGTCACAGAAAGTATTCACCAGAACCATGATGTTGTAGGGGGTCCAGGTGATGATGAAAGCGAGTAAGATGGCGCTGAGGGTCTGTGCTGCCTTCTTCTCCTTGATGAGCGACATCCTCTTCCGCTTTGTGATCTGACTTCTGGTTTTCACAGCAAACCTCTTAGCCAGTGTGGCTTCCTTGAAGGACAGAGGTAGAGTGGCCGTGGTCTTACCCACTGACGAGTTGGCATCGGAAGTCTTGGCTGTGTCCATGGTGGATTCCAACTGGATGGGAAGTTTGGAGAAGCTCTTTTGAAAACTGCCACCATCGTCCATACTCTTCCGGGTCTGAAGCTTATTGGCATTTCTCTCCATGTCCACTGACCCCAGCTCCTCCTCAGGCCCCTGCAGGTTGTCAGAGGAGGGCAGTTTGGTGGAGTTGAGGATGGTGCTGTGCCCTGGAAGCTTGAGCACAATAGAGTAGATGGCTCTTGTCTCTGAGCCAATGTCCTCTTCATCGGAGGAGGCGGAGTTTTCCAGGGAGGCAGCAGCATCATTGTTGTTCCAGCTGTCACTGCTGCTGTGGTCTTGGTCCATCTGCTCGGCACTGGGCTTCCAGTTCTTGGTTGTGAACCAGAAGTGGCAGCGGCCGTACTTTCTTCTGGATGAGCGCTTCAGGCTTTGCTGCTGCAGCTCATAGCTGCTACAGCTTCGAGAACTACCTGTGGGGTGGACGAAGTTTTCTGTCTCTGCTTCTGTCCCAGAGGCCTGCAGGCCAGCGAGCTCTTTGGTACGTTTTTCAGTTTCCTTATAGATCCTCCAGTACAAAATAGTCATAATGGTGACAGGCATATAAAAGGCAGCGATGGCCGTGCCGAAGGTGATGGTGGGCTCGCTGAGGAATTGAATGAAGCACTCCCCTGGAGGCACAGTTCTCTTCCCCACAAAGTACTGCCAGAACAAAATGGCAGGAGCCCAAAGGACGAAGGAGATGACCCAAGCCAGACCTATCATCACACCGGCTCTCTTTGTTGTTCTTTTGGCTCGATAGGTGAGTGGCCTTGTGATGGAAAAGTACCTGTCAAAGCTAATGACCAGAAGGTTCATGACAGAGGCATTGCTGGCCACATAGTCAATGGAAAGCCAGAGGTCACAGGCTAAGTTCCCCAAAGCCCATCGGTTCATGATGATGTAGGTAGTAAACAGATTCATGGAAATGACCCCGATGATCAGATCAGCACAAGCCAGGCTTAGGAGGAAGTAGTTGTTGACTGTCTTCAGCTGTTTGTTGACCTTAAATGCCACTATGACTAAGATGTTGCCAATGATGGTCACCAGGGCCAGGAAGCCCGTTAAAAATGCAATAAAGACCACTTGCCAGATAGTATGACCTCCTAGAGGGTCACTGGTGGTACCATTTGGGGAGGAGAAATTCCCAGCTGCTTGTGCAATGTTGTAGCTGCCGAAATGAGTGACTGTCCCTGGGGGTAGCCCTGCTTCTGATGGGCTGTGTATCCAGGAGGTGCTGATGTTTGGAAACAAAGGCAAGATTGTACTGCTATTGTGCAAGGTCATTGTGACTCTCTGACATAGTCTGAGGAAAAAGAGAGAGAAAGATGGAGTTAGGAAACTTTCTGCCTTGCAACATTCTTTGCATTGCATACCTTAAAACACACAGAAGACCTGTTATAGGATGCTGAATCCTGAAGAAGCCAAACATTATTAAGTTCTTTTTCTTATCTTAAAGAGTCAAGCATCTAGGGCAGGACAAGACAACTAGCTAGTGGCAAGTACTGACCATTGTGCTTTTCCCCACATTTTCCTCATTTCTAAATATCTTTTGTTTACTGCTGTTATCAAACAACACAACATTCTTATTTCTCTTCTCCTATTTTAAAAAGGGGGAAATAGTAGGTGCTTATATGACAGTTATTCCATGTAATTTATTATCACGCTACTTGATAAATTAACTTTTTTTCATCTCATCATTTACCTGCCTAAGGCTTCAGACATAAACAAATTTAAGGTGATACTAGACAAGCTTCACTGGAAAGAGCAAAATGCCAACTCCAAGTGAAAGAGAAAGTAAGTGTAAATCTACTCACATAATATTGTGAGTTGGTCATATGATATTTAAAACATGGATTGAAAAGATGATGTATTGGTTTTATATATTTTGTAACATGCTCATTTTTTCTACACTCCCTGAAGAGCCTTTATCGTTCCTACATCTCCTTCACTGTACAGATTCTTGCACATAATAGCTACATTTCCTTCTTCTCTGCTAAGGTTGCCTTAAAGCCCTTTTTACAGACCTCCTCTTGCCACCCTGCCTGGGGTCTTCTGAATCTTACATAGATATCTATAATACATTTAAAAACTCTCAGCTATTTAAATACTTTCCAAGTCTCTGCTCTCACATCCCATGGGGAACTGAATACATTCCCATGTCTTAGGACATGCTGATTTTATTATCAATAACCCCAGTGCTTTATACATCTGTCTTCTTTCATCTTTTATTCTTGTCAATGGATGTCATAATGGATGTCTGTTATTTGTCATTCTTTCAGTTGTTCTTTTGGAAATAACCTGTAGCACACATTTTGGAACAGGCATTCATTACTTGGTTCTGAGTCCTAACCACAGTAATGACTGGAAGCTGACCCAAACAGGGAAGGTCAAACTCAGGAACTGGTATGGATGCTGGAGAGAAAGAAATTCTCTCATATCTGGGGCTTCTGGGTGCTGGTCCCCCAATTGGTGACTGCATGGAAAACCCGAGAAACTAGAAAATACAGAGGAAAGAAATCAGGGAAGGAGAAAGATGGGAGGGAAATGTGGAAAACAGGGACATCATGATGAGGAGTCCTTTGAAAACTGGAGTTAGCTATTTCTAAACCCACACAACAGCCTTCTTGATTTTGTAACTTATGTGCATGGATAAATTGCCTTTGCTGCCTGGGCTAGCTGAGGTGGGTTTCTGTCATCTGTGATTAAGACTTCCAATTGACATATTTTGTCATTATCAGTATAACACGCTTCCTGAACCACCACTATGGTACCTTTAGGATGTTGTGTTCCATGCTGTGGAATTCAATAAGTCACAGCCTCTGCCCTCTGTGAGCTATACCCTTGAGAGACAGGACATGAATAAAATATTTTAAAAAGCATCAAGTTATTTAAACAATATTAAATTGCTCCCTGTGACTAGACACATAATGTTTTTACAAATTCAATGGCAACTGAATTTGTTCAGTTGGCCAACGTTATTGAAGAACACAAGAATTTTAGAAATCAGCCCAAAGGTAAATTCTTTTTTTTAAAGCCCATTTCTTTATATAAATCTGTAGAGCACCACCAAATTTACAGTATTACAGTCTAATCAGGCATTGTTGAAATATAGAAAATAAATGACAGTGGAACAGAGGAAAGTCAACGACAGGTGAGTCTAGCTTTCTCTATGGTTCATTAAGTGCCTGCTCGGTTCTGAGTGGAATCCAGGGGCTTCTTGACTAATCATTAGAAAATCTTTGAATCACAGACTGTCAGACATGACCTTTGACTTGTATTCTTTGATATGTCTACCATTCACCATAATTAACCTCATAATTCAACAGTAATTCAATATCTCATACCTTCTTGAAAGGCTCAGAGATTTTTTTCCTATCTTTAAAAATGTTTTAGAGTTTGTCTATCATGCAATGGATGTAGGTTATGAGCTGAGAAAATAAATTAAAGCTATAAAAGAACCAGTAGAAGATAATGACCACGAAAGTAGTCACCTGCTTCCTCATAACCCAAGGGACAACAGTTAATAAGTTAATAACCATGGCACTCTCGATGCCAACAGCTGTTTCCCTCTAATAACCAGATATATAGAAAGAAATGAATTTGGTAGGTGAACATGACATTGAGGGAAATAAAGATATTTTTTTTGGAAGGGAAGTGGAAATGATGAGTGAAGCACATTACCAAACATTTGATGACGTGAAGCTGGAAGGAGAGAAATGCCTAGGAAATTCCAGGCACTCATCGGATGCTACGATTCAGTGAGATACATTAATACCACTCCTATCAATAAACAGGACACTCATCATCAGTAATAATATTTCATTAGAAGACAGCAAAGCATACTTGAAAAGTCATGGTCTTTGAAGCCCAGCTGATTAGGGTTTGAGTTCTGGGTTGGCCCAGAAAGTGCAGAAGTTGCCTGATGACGCTGAGACCATACTTTTGGCTTACAAACTACCACCTACTTTCTAGGGAGGGTGAGAAGCATTATGATGTGGCAGGCTAATACTCCAGAATATTACATGAGCCTTCCTTTTCCCAGTGCTAACTTGTCACATTCTCAGAGTTGGGTTGTTTCTGCGGAAGCCCAGGGAGACAAAAACCTATCCATACTTAGATTTTGCTTTTAAAGTAGACTTGAAATATTTTCGTAGAGATAAGGGTGTTAAAGATGAAAGTCTTTAACTGTGCAAACACTTAAGACTTAGTGTCAAGGCATGGTATACTGGGCTAAACTCTAGGTAAATAAGGATTTCTCCTTGCCCCATTCGTTTTCTAAATAAATTGACAGCAAATGCTGCAAAAAAAGTGATTTGGCAATATTAATCAATACTAAAAAGGTGTACACCAAAGAACAAATTTTACTTCTAAAATTATTTTATGTAAAGAAGATGTGCACAAAAGTGTTCACTGAAGCATTTGTTGTTATGGTAAAAATTAGGAAATCTAAAAGACTATCAATATTGGAATGAATTAAAATGTAATATATAAAGCGAATACAATGCAGAAGATAAAAGTAATCAGCTTGACTTATAAGTATTAACTTGGAAAGTTTAAAAATATAACATTGAGTAACAAAGCAATTTGGGGGTTGATGAATATAATGTGATATAATTTAGGAAACTGTGAAATACATACAAAAATAGTATACATCTTATATACTAAAGAGAGAATATAGCTTATGTACTTAGGAATTTAAAATTATCCCAGAAGCATAGAAAGCCACCTGCAATTCATACATTAGCAACGGTGTTTTTGTGGAAGATGATTAGGATTGAGGGCGATGAAGAAAAATCATTCATTCCTGAAGTCAGGGGAAGTGGAAAGAGATTTAAAAAGGGGAAAGAAGATGGTGTTCATGTCCACAAAGGAGTTGGACTCTTGCCCTTCACCTAGTGTAGCTTTTAAGTGGGTTACAGGAAAAAAATGCCTGATAATACTGGTGATACAAGGCTCACAAGTATGTGTTTCATGCCCTCCTGGCTGGTGTCCTGACAGAGGTGGTAGCTGCTGAGTCATGAGGGCAGACAATCCAAGTCAAAAGCCCTTGGAAGTAGATTCTTCTGTATTCCTGCCCCCAGGGGAACTCAGCCAGGCCAACCAGCCCCTTGATTTCAGGTTTGGGAGACCCTGAGAAGGAAACTGCTAAGTTTGTTATTTGTCATGCAGCATGGGGTCTTGTACCAGTCAGGTGCTCTTACAATGGCTGCCTGCAGAGGCATGTGTGGAAGAGTGCAAAAGGGCCATCTGTGCACTGGAGAGCTGAAGGATTCAGTCAAAAGTCAAAAGCCTGGAGCTCACTGCAGGGTCAGTCCCACGAGCATGCTTATGAGGAAGCCAAAGCGTCTGTGCTGGAAGTCTGTGGACGGATGTCCAAAGGTGATGTAAAGACTGCAGCTCCTCTGAAGAAACAGAAGCAAGACTTCTTTTTTCTTTCCCTTTGTATTTCATCTAGGCCACAAGCCTACTGATCGGTGCCACCCGCTGCAGGGGTGGTTCTTTCCTCTTCAGGAAGTCAGTTCTTCAGATATACCCAGAACTATGCTAAGCCAATTAGCTGAGTGTTTCTTACTCAAGTTGACACCACAGTTAATGATCATAATCCACCTCTTGTCAACTTGGACCGACACGTTTCCTTAACATGTTCACGACAGGGCTGTAATTTCTATGTCTGTCCTTGTTTTTTAATATTAGATGTAGACATTTTTACCAAGATACATCATGTAAAGGTACAAGATCCCCGTGATGAATGTAACTGTATTGTATACCTAAAATGTACCAATAAACTTAATGGGAAAAAATGTAGACTTTTTTGTGGTAATTTTATTTGTATTTTTTTAGCAAAACAATTTATTGGCATATTTTAGATATTCATAAGGATAACATTCACCATATGGAATTTGTACCAGTACATGATAAATCTTGCTTCTTCTTTTTTCCCCATTCCCCCCTTATGTAAAAAAAGTTTGCATTTTTTCCTTTGATTTTCTGCCCTTTTTTCTTGTCCCTTCTTTCCTTTCACCCTCCCTTGTCCCTTTTCTCATTTAAACATTTTCTTCTCATTTTCCAGTGTCTATTGTACACTTTAGTCCTTATTTTCACTTTTAGTTTCTCACACCAGAGAAACAATGCCGTATCTAAACATATGTGTTCCATTTATTTCACTTAAGAGTATGGTCTCAAGGTGCATCCATTTAGCTACAAATGTCTCAAGCTCATCCTTCTTTATGACAGAATAGTACTCCATTGTATAACCCCCCCCCCATCTTCTTTGTCCATTTATTGATTGATAGGTATTTGGGT